AAATAAAGCTAGCCTCGGTCAGGTTTTTCTGTATTTCTTATATGATGAGAGGATGGAGAAAATGCCAAGAAGCGCTCTATCTTTTAAAAAAGCATGCCTAATTGCGCATGAAAACGTGTAAAGACTCTGAAACAAAGAAATCAGTCCTAAAGTAAAAAAGAAAACAATAAACACAAACGTTCGTTATATAGTAGGTGATAGTGAGAGTACGTTTGTCTGTGCATAAAATTACAAAACAAACGCTATTTCATTCGTTTGATCGAAAAGAAATCAAAATAGCTACTAAAACTTCTTAAAAAGTTCTCAGCGATTAGTGTCAAAAAAAGCGGGAAAATAGGAGGTATAACAAACTCATAGTGAGAATTGTCGAATGCAACGCGCATTAAAACTAGGTCCCACATCTTTCAAAAAACGCAGACGTGTAATTTTTATTTTTAAATAGAAGTCTGTAAACAAGTCCTTATCAATCTGCAGGTTCCATATTCTCATTGCTATTTTGCGACGAGATAAACTATGGAAGTCAGTAGTGGAAACTGTAGAAGTCGGAGTAGATGCTTCAGATCGGTCGCTACTTTATCGTTAGTTATTATCTTTGTGAGCGTAATTCAAAAATAAAATAGCGAAACAACAGCAACCGCTTTCATAGTAGTATCGTGGTTACTATATATATAGTGCGCACTTGCAGTCGTCTGACAAAGAAAAGAAAGAATTTAGGCAATTGACCCGTATACTTTTGACACTGTCCTGTAAATTGAACATCTTTAATAGTAAAAAGGCTGTTCTTTAATATTCGGCGCAACTGTAATCCATTCAAGAATGGTTCAGCTTCGGTCTTCACACTAAGCCCTGGAGCTGTCAATAGCCCTTCGTGACACCTCTGATGGTGGTGTCAATAGCCATTGCTGACACCCCTGGTGGTGTCAATATCCCTCGTTGACACCTCATGGTGGTATCAATAGACTCACCCTTATTTGTTTGTGTGTATCCATATACATATATTTCTTGCCTATTGCTTTATTTATTAAATATTATTATTAAATATTAAACTAGCGTCTAAAAGATCTACTTTATTGAGTGTCCGTTTAACACCATTATCCGATTCATTTGTATTACGTGATGAACTAGCAGAAGTTTTTAAAAATGATACAAATGTACGCGATTAAATTCAGAATTTTATCATGAGCTGACAAGAACTATTAACAGCGATTTAACACCTAATATTGGTCAGTTTTTTAAATAATTATTTGATTTATTAACAAATGAACAACGCAAGTCAATGGTATAGACTCAAGATCAGATGGAATAGAAACGACACAATCGTTTGTTCAAAATTCGTTTATTAAATGTTGCTACTCAAAAAGACAGAATAACTAGTATGCGATGTTGCATATGCTTTTGGCTGTGCATTGGATTCTACTGGTATAGAAACAGAGCATTAAATAACCGTTAAATCAAATGCTAATAAAACAAATAAAAACATCAACAATATTAATTGTTCAGCTTTATTCACGATCAAAATGGTATGAACTACCGTATAAATCATAACTCAAAGAATACGGTAAAAAATCATCCATTTAAACGTGTTATATTAGCTGAAGATCTAAATCGTTATACGTCTACTATATTTGCAACTGTACGTCAGAAATTACCTAAAAAAGATCGCCATAAAATATATTCCACAAATGATTAAATTTATTTCCATAAAGACCTCCAACCAAGAATTCATCTACGATTTATGACAGATGTCGAACAAATTGTGAAAATTTAAGATATTGGTTTATTTGTTTTTGTCAGATCACTTGATTGGATATTCATAAGAAAGGAATTCCGAATAGTTTCTCCTAATAAATAACAAATAAAAATTTCTGCATAAAAATGCACTAGAGTGAGAAATGTGGCAAAAGGCTGATGCCATCGCAATTGTGGGTTTCAGCAGTATAAGGTCACTTTACCGTAAGCGAGTTTCAGAATGCAGCAAGTATCGGTTTGATTCTGTCTGACACACAGAGAATTGAGGTTCAGCTATATTTCTTCATTCACAGATTGCTAGATTCGCTCTAGCAACAAAATAATATTAGCGTCTTTTATTTACAGTACGGTTTATCTGAAAATCCTAGTGTGGACGTTTTCTACAAATACGGCAAGTACGAGTTTATCGGTAAAACTCATAGGCGAACTAGAAAACACTTGTCTCAACCTCACTTTTATATTGAGATCACACTGCCATTGAGAAATACAGCAGAAAAACTGTACGGCTAATGCACCAATACAAAAAGTCATTTCCTTTATTGTAAGATTTTGAGTCGAAATATCATGTGTAAATTGGTCTGAAAAACGAAGTTTAGTCATCAACCAAGAAAATCAGATTTTTGTGATGAATTTCAGGGTAAAATACATGATTAGATCGGGAATTTTAATCCACTATTAGATAAAAGTGCTCTTCTACCGAAAAACGATGACTTTATAAATGATTTTGGGCATTTTCCAAAAGTAATTACAAAGACAAAATCGCAGAAAAATCCATTTTTTTATTAGCACAGTAGACGAGTACTCAGAACTCCATCAATCGTGCCTTAGAATAGAGAAAGGAACGAAGTCTACTAAACTTTGAGCTTTTTTCTACGAAAAAAAATGTCAAGTCATGACTTGTAATTTGACTTGTACTAAAAATAATTGTAAAACTGATGGTTTAAAATGAGAAAACGTCTGATGAAGAACCCTTATCGCCTATCGGTATTCTTCAGGTAATGCTAACAAAAAATTCGCGAAAGATATAATCAAACCTATGGATACTCAGCAACAATGACTGACTACAGTTGTAGAAAAAACTGTCTGTCTCTCTGTTGTTGTCGTACCACTCTACAAGATGTTCCAAAAGTCCGCACCAAAAAAAGCCTTGAATATTACCGTCATTTTTTTAACTAAACTACAAGGTTTTATTTCATTCATTACCGTTCCAAGTTTTATTTCATATAACTGGAATTTTTTGTATAAAAAACAGTTACTGTGGAAAAATAATAAAATCTACAACACATGTTTTCTGTATACGTTCTTGTTATAGTGAGTAAAGATTATAAAGCTTGTTGTAATTGGACGAGATCTTTACCAGAGATACGTACTACGTCTCATTTTGTAGCACTCGAGTTGCTCCACAATTCCGCATGTTCAAATGTTTTGTTCAACTTAAAGTTTTGTCAAAAGAAGTTAATTTCTCCACATTGACATGACCTCCGAATTCCGGCTTCTGTAGTAGCCCGATCCAACTTCTTACAGACCTTCAACTATTTCACTTCTTAAGACTACCTTCTTTGTATGAAATTCCAATAGCAGTTTTTCCTTTTCTTAGTTAACTTTATTTGGAAAAAAATTTATTAGTATTTTACACTTTCCCATATGCTAGGATGGAACAACCATAGCTAAAGAAAGCCGCACTATCCAATCATTTTTAAACAAAACCAAATAATCATTTTGTTAGGTTAAAGGGAAAATCATCTATTTCATTTAATATTAAGAATTATTTATATTTCGTTCAATTAATAAAAAAGCGTTACAAATTTTCCCATGATAAACTCAAACATTTTGTCAAGTATTAACAAAAATTTCCAAACAAACTTTCCTCTATCGAACAAAAAGATACCACAAAGTTTAGTTAAAAAATGACGAAGATATTCAAGGCTTTTTTTGGTGCGAACTTTTGGAACACCCTGTAAGTGTAAAGGTCAAGAAAAGAAGTGGCAGGCTTCACAAGGATCTTAGTGATTTCTCCTAACAAAACAAAGAAGAGTGACTAACACTTATCGTTTCAACTAAAAAAAGTGTACAAGTATGATGACAACGGAAGAGAGACTGCTTTCAATGTTATGCTAGAGAGCTGACAGCAAAAATGTTCGATGGTTATTGTATTAGAAGAAAAATTACAACAACCTGTCAGTGAAGAGCTGAGTTGATGTATTTATACTGCTCTGATACGTTGTCCGAAATGGCGGTCCATGAACATTACACGGTAGAGAACAATCCGTGTGTCATCCAAAAAAAAAGTTATAGAAGTGTATAATAATTTTGAACAGGCGAGTTCAGGGAACAATTAGTGCGTTTGATGGCATGTTCTGAGACATTCATTAGGTCACATCAACTGTCACATCACTTTTTCAGTCAAATCTAGTGGATCATAGGTTATCAGCTATGCAGAATTCGAATATCATAGTGGTAGCTGCTAAGAGGCCTTCAGAGACCGGTTTTTTGGAAAACTAGTTTTTCGAAACTCTAAAAAGTTTTCCACAATTCTAAAGTACTAAAACCTTTCTTAATAACGCATGTTTATAGCCCGCAAATTTCTGATTAAAATGAGACATCTTCCAGCTCTACACAATCTTTCTTTGCAAAGTTATACAATTTACAAGAAAAGCCCTAAATTAATTTCTTATTTTTGTAGTTTGACCTGACAATGTGACAATGAACATTTAGGGCTTTTCTTGTAAATTGTATAACTTTGCAAAGAAAGATTGTGTAGAGCTGGGAGATGTCTCACTTTAATCAGAAATTTGCGGGTTATAACCATGCGGTATTAATAAAGGTTGTCGTTGCCTTTTAGAGTTTCTGAAAAATTGGTTTTTCAGAAAGCCGATCTCTGCAGACCCCTGGGCAGCTATCACTATGATTTTCGGATTCTACATAGTTGGTAACCTATAACCCACTCGATTTGACTGAAAAAGCGACGTGACAGTTCGCTAGGTTCCCTCGTCAGTTCTATAATTTCCTATGACCGATTTTTCTAAGAAAATAAAAAAGTTAGATATTTCTAATCTTGAACCTCGGACGTATAGTCTTTACGTCACACATCAAAATGATTTGATATGAAAGGCTACTCAGTGAATATCTCGGTGTATTTTGCTTTTTCAGTTCAGATCCAGTATTGCAAAAAATAAAAAAACAAAAGAAACTGGAAACACGAATGCAGAAATATATAGAATCGGTTATAATGTTTTTTCCTCTTTCATCCTTTATCTTGGATTAATATTTGGATTAGCTTCATTTGCTATCGCACCTTCCAATGTTCTTGTGTCTAATTGTCCCGCTTGTTTTTGATCTACTGGTGGACTATTTTCTACTTGTTTTGTAGTGGGTTTTCCGTGTTCTGCAGCTGATGGTGCTGTACCAGGTGCATTAACTACTGCTGGCTTGTCATAATGTTCTTTATAGAGTTCACTTGTGCCGTGATCCATCTAAATAGAATTGAATAGTGCTGTTTTTATTTTATGCTGGGAAAGTGCGTAATAAAGAGTGATAACGAAAGTTGTGTCAAGTGGAAGATCGTTCAGAAAAATTCTGAAGTTTAAATTGTACGGTAAACGTTCTAAGATAAAATTCGCTGATTTCAAAAGCGTGAGGCATTCCGGTAAGAGTTTAAACCATGAATGAATCTCTTGCTGAAAACCTGTATGACCAGAAAACTGAGACGAAAAAGTGCGGAGATCGATTTGTGTAAAAAAAGAACGAAAGATAAATCTATAATTGTAGTGAAGTGTATAAGAAATGTGCAATGAATGAATCTGTTTTTGTGAGCTTCTGATTTACTCTGGCTATAGTATTTCATTTAGTTTTAAGAAGTTTGTAGTTTTACCGGCGATACTAATCTCGATTAGTTTGTTATAGTTTCTGCATCTTTCGCTTGCACGCATGCTTTGTGCAGTTGAATTATCCTTTAGGGCCTCGTTGTCAAACAGCTATTTTAGTAACCACGAGTTCGACCTCGAACAAATTTTCAGTCAATGTTGAACATGTTGAGGAATAGTTAGAAAACCATTTTAAAGACTCTGTCTAACAACCTTCAAAAGATGTCACTGAAATACTGATCAAAATTGGGCGCCGAATGATTAAAGATTTCTCCTCTTAGATAGTAGCTAGGGAGCTCGGGTCGCTCTTATGAAGTAATTATCACCAAAATTGTCCAAAATATTTTACCATAAAAACTTGAGTACTGGAAAAATCAGAGTCCAAATCAAAAATCTGACTCTACTACGTCATGTCCGTGGTTACTCGCTTCAGTTTAAGACGAATCCAAGTTCTCTAGTTTTAAAGGACAGAGAAATTTTTTAAACGGCGTTTAAAAGATTTAACTTTAAAAAGTGCTTGTATCGACTGCTTTGGAAACATTTAGTATATCTGAAGCGGGAAGGGGATCCCTTAAGAGCTAATAAAGAAGTATAGAAACGCATACTCAGACTATTTTTACTCTTTGAATTACATCAGTATTTCATACTGTGCTGGACAAGTGACGTATGGGTTCATTAGCGCAAGATTCATTTAATAATACATAAATACTTCCAAATTGAAAATCTGATTCAATTTTCTTCAAGTTAATATCTGTTCAGTTTATTGCATGATCGTATCTGACATGTTATATTGGTTGTATCACCATCGTTACTCGTTCAAATCTTAGCGAAAACTGATGATAGATCCTTTTAACGTTGATTCGACTAAAACTTCGGTAGTCAGGACGATTCCAGTTTATGTTCTCGGTACCGAAAATATAGCGTCATACAAAACAAAATGCCAGTTCATCCGCAGTGCAAAAGCGACGCTATTTACAACACAGGCATCAAACATCCATCCAATTGCCGTACACTAGCAAAACAGACTTAAGTTAACAACAGCGGTGTTATTAGCTTCTGATACTATGAGTCATCTGACTGAACTAAAACACTAACAGAGCTCTGTTATGAATTATTAAGTTTAGTATTCAGGACGTACGTCAACTAAGAACCCGTACTGTTGCTTTTTTCCTTAGTAGAAAATCGTAAAGATTAATCAGCATGAAATAAATAGAAAAGTGGTATTAAGAAACCGTGAAGTGAAGGATAAAATTTCTACGGCGTTCTTTGGGCGTACAGAATGTGCCTAGTAAGAAATGCAATCTTGTTTTAGCATGTTGAACTCTAGGAGAGAAGCATTGTTCTGAATAAAACTAAATAAAAGTCTATAAAGAACTCACCTTCTATTGTAATTCAGAAAAAATGTTGAAAATTTTGATCGTATGATGGACTTTTTTTTATTGCAAAAAACGTAATGTATGTAAACGTAATGTACATGTTTAAATATATATTTCTTTGTTCCTTATCAACTTATGTTCTCTAAATTGTGTGTCTAGATTTATCTGGAGGGTAACACAATTACTATTTTCTTTGTAAAAATAGATTTTTTTATTCTGCATTCTTCTGATCGAACAATCAACAGAAACAGTTGAAACTGAAGACAACGAAGAAAAGACGTAATTTTAATCACTATGATGGAATATTTGAGAAGTGCGATAGAATAGAAAAAAAAGTAAAAGTTTGTTAGACAAAAGTGTATGACAACGTGCGAAATAAAAAAAAGTTACCAGAGCAGTCATCAAGACTGTTACGAGATCTCTGACAAGTTAAGCATAATTTTGTAAAACAGTGCAGAATTGTGCGAGAATGTTTTCACAATCGTCACACATTTCGCATAATTTTGTAAAATGCTCCAGAACCTTCTACTGTTGAGAAATGGAGCAGAATTCTTTTTGTGATTGTTTGACAAAGCGCATCAAGCTGATTTGGAAAACAGGTGTTTTAATGTTTGAAAAAATTCTTTCATGTTGAAAAATTGAAAATACTTGAAGGGTCTATATATATTTTCTAATAGTTCTTCTTCAAATAGTTTTTTATTCTTTTCAAATAGTTTTGATTTTTAAAATTGTTTCGTCGTTGGGGACTCAGACAAAATTTATATCTGATAGAATCAAAGGATTGATTGATTGATTGATTGATTGATTTATATTTTAGTAGCCCCCAGTAGATGATAGATAGTGAAAGGAAGAGATCTACGACCCGTTTCGACCGTTCACAAGGCTCATGTTAGGCGGGTTCCGTAGACAACGACAGAGGTAGAGCACGACAAGCAATATAACTTCCTACAGCATATTACTAAACTATTAAACGATGTAAACAGAGCGCAATATCACTTTCCACTGCAGATATTCTGTTTCTCTTCAATAAACCATGTCAGAAACTATTCATCCTCTAAGATACCCTGTGTCTAGTAAAGCATAAAAAAGCAGCATTCAAAATTCATCTTCTTGAATCGTTCACAGTGGGAAAAGACAAAATTTGTGAATGAAGCATAGTAATACAGCAGCGTGTTTGAAATTCATTATTTTAATTTTTACCTTTTTAAAATTTTATTTATCAACCTTTCGAAAATACAATTCTCAATATTAAGAGAAGATACGTAACAACAAGGGAGATGCTTATCGTAAAATAAAACTGAAAGTATGACTTTTATGTAAAGTACCGGAAATTCAAAACTTAAGTGCATTTTATTTTTTCGATATTTATACATGGATCGATGAGTCCATCGAGCTAAATTAGAACATGTGTTAGCCTTCCGAAAATTTTTTTGGGGTTGCAAATTTGAGATTTTGAAAAGTGGTCTGCATTTGAAAACTGAGCGTAAATTTCCAACCCACTGAGTATGGGAACTCTGAGAAAGTTTTCTATTCTGATTTTACATGAAAAACTGTATCTAAATAAAATAGTTTCGATATCATTCAGATACCATATGTCCATTAAAAGTTTTGATTTTTCGACGATAGTGAATTACCTCATCGGTCAAGGGAACCAACTCTTCTTAAACATAACCAGAACACACACGCCAAACATACAGCAAAGAAATTATAAAACAACTGCCATATATCCTTTTACCTTTTCTTTGTTGAACCGAAATTCAACAGAAAAGTAATTCAGACCAACATACTTGAAAGCAAAACCACTTCGGAGCCTTTGATATTAGCCATCTAGAAAGTCGTATTTGTCTGTATACATGTAATTTATAATCTTGTTGAGAACAAAACTTATTTAGTATTTTATTTGCTATACAAGTACTAAAGGACGTGATCAAGAGTTGCAGCCGACACAGAAATCCGTGTTTAAGGATTTTCGAGCCAGCCAAGCGACATAAAAAATCTAGTAACGCTCGATTCATCTAGATTACTAGATTTTTACTCGATTGCAACTGTTGGGTAACGACAGTGGAAATCTGTTAATCAGGCTATTGCTAGATTTCTTCTAGTTGCAACTATCGATTTAACGCCCGATAATCGATCGTTTTAACTATTGCTAGTTGCACATGCAAACACATCTAGTTAAAAGTCCCTTTTCAAACTAGTAATCTAGATGGCAACTAGTCGTGTATCGCCCGATTACAGACGAAATGTATCTGGATTTTTCCCATAGGTGATGTTTGCTTGGGCCGCAAAGTCTTATCCCACAAGAAATGACATTCTGAACAACTTTTGCAGCTCCACTTTTGCTCCAAAATGCTTCATTTTCAAGAAACTATGGGTAGGGTGCTGTGAAAATACTTTAGCCCTAAAAGTCCATAGAGAAGGTAAAAATTGAATTTCTTCGTCAAACTTCATCCTGGAAGAATGAAGACATTTTTCTTTGTCTGTTAATCTCAATTATGTTATTAATTTTACTGAGTGTTTTATCTAGGTTGCGTTTTCCAGGTGGGCGGATGAGATTTTTGGAGGGCTGTTGGCTAAAAAGATTTTTGCTATGTGGTAAAGGTACACACAGATTTTTATTCATTATACGTTTTCTTTTGTTACCAATCCAGTTTTTCTAGAAAACAAATAACATGTGAAAAAACACTTCGAGAACAAGACAATAATCTAAATTAAACCGAAATTTTTCTTAGTTTTTTAATTTTTTAACAATCAATAATCAAATCTTTTAGATCATTATCTAAATGAGATGGTCCTTCTATTGATATTGTCATTAATTGTTCTAAATGTTCATTAGTAGGATACCGCTACAGATAGTGACGCCACCTGCGGCCGGTGTGCCTCGCCTGCTTGTGGTGTTGATTGTGGCGCCCCCTATAAGTACTTCATTAGTTCACTTCATGGATACTTCTAATCACTTCCACTTCAGTTCAAGTTCAGTGCTGCTTTTACCCCCCTTGATTGATCTTCCATGTTTTTTTAATCGATTTTTCATGAACGAGAAATTAATTTCTTGTATCAGTGTAATATTCGGTATGTCACACTTCAGGTGCATCTTTTACTACTAAAAAGTCACTGTATACTCTCTTCTTGCGGTTCTTATCTTTTCTGCGTGGAGGCACTGCATTTACAAGCCTTTGGTTTTTTTGTGCTTTCCTTTGTTACGAGATGTTTTCTTGGGCATAAAATAAAATCTCATGTTCTGAGGTTTATCTGTTGATTGTAATAATTCTGTTACTGTTGTTGTACTATCATAGGTGGCATTCTTTTGACATTTATTGAAAAATGTTGATAACTTTTTACTATGATCAATTTTTCATAATAATTCCAGTAATAATAAGTTCATGTTTAAAAATAAGAAATATGCATTATCTAATAAATCACTTAAATTTTTGACGATTTTCTTCACGTCCTAATTTGCTCATATTAAATAATTGTCGTGCTACTGATCCTTTTTGCTGCCTAAATGATAAACTTTGTACGGGTATTTTATGATAAGTAAGTTGTTGGTGTTTTTCTAAACTTCTGCTTCGACCAGGTGTATATTTCTAATTGACAAACGGTTGTATACAAAAAAGACCTTTAGTTCTTGTATTCATCTCAGAATAGGGTGGTATTATTGGTTTCCAGTAATCGCGACATATGCAACAAAATGTACAGTTATGTGGTTCATATACAAGCCACTTATAGTCTGGATATGTACGTTTTTTATTGTCATTTGATATTGTTATTATTGTTGTGGATAATGAATAATTTTCACTCATATTCGATTGAATACCAGATAGTGGTCCAATATCTGAACGTGCATTTATAATATTATCATTTACAATCTTATTTAAATTATAATTTATTTTACTTTTTTTTGTTGAATTATTGTCAGAGTCTTCTACATTTTCTTTTCTTTCAAAATATGAAATGAGAAACTTTATCCTAATGATATTTATTGTAGAAATTAGAAATAGAATTTTTAAAAGAATTTTGAATATTATAGTGACAATTAATAGGTAAATACTCTTTTTGTCCAAAAATGTTTTTGAACAAAATTCTGTTCTATTCTTATTGCGTCAAAATGTATATAATTGTATTAGTTAATAAATTATAAACAGAATAGTTGATTACCTTGGGCTGAACGAAAAAATGCTCGTACAATTGATGAACCCAGTTTATTGCATTATTGTGATTATGAAAATGTTTACTTGTAAGTAACTCATATAGAAGAAGACGCAAAATAAGTGATATGAGTGAGGGTAGGGGTAAGAATACACCCTTTTGACAAATGTTCTACTCTCACAGATAACGAATTTTTAAGAGTCTGAGAAATTCATTATTTCAATAAATTAATTAAGATTTTAATTTTTTCCATGTTTAGTTACATTCCTATTCAACTGACACAAAAAAAGTGGAGAGAAAAGATTCTGCTTAGCTTTTGAATATCCTGCACCTTAAAAATCAATAGATTTGTTCAATAGATCAATTCAACTGTCGAATGCTTAATCGTTGCACAACAAAACTGCCAAAGATGGTTTTATTGTAACAATCGTACATACACATTTCTTTCGACTGAACAATATTCACAAAATTGATAATTTTTATAATAAACACAATGTAAATACAGTATGAGAACGCTTACTTAAGATGTAGAATTAATGACAAAACAAATTAAGAGAACGAGATAGCCTTTTGTCTTTTAAATGCAAGTCTTGTATTGATACTATTAATAGCACCTTTACAAGTGGTGGTCAATTACCACATTAAGATGGTAAAACTTAGCTTTTCCATGTCAACAACGTGTTTATAATATTCGGAATAAAAAGCATGACAAGCTACGCCTGATACGAGTAACTTACTTTTAGCAAATAGACAAGAAAATTTTTTTACTAATAGGCATGTAATATAATTTGTTAAGCGGAAAATTTTGCTATTGTATAGAGGATTAAAAACTGAACTAAGGTAGACGTTAACCTCTACGTTTGTTTAGTTTTTAATCTTCTATCAAATAGCGTTTAAATCAGGCCTCAATCACTTACCTGAGTCGAAATAATTAAATTTTAGAAAAAATTAAATTTTTAAAATTTAAAATTTAACTTTAAAATTAAAGTTTTGAGCTGGAGACTTGTTGTTTTTTCAAAATGTTTATTATTTAACGCTAAATCTGAATATGTTATTTAAAATATTTCGTCGTCGTTTACCTTTTTGAAAACGATTTTTATTTAGCTCAGGTAGCTCAAAATCCAGGGTTTTCTAGAAACCCTACTTAAGAACATTTTTAGGCAGAACTTTTCGCTTAACAAATTAAGAGCACATAGAAAAATCCTTATAAACCAAAGGACAACTTGCATTGTTAATTGAGATAGCCCAGATCAACTTTCTTGCTTAGCACCTATTCTGTGGCGTACTACAACATAAAAATCGACAATATTTTTTTTCAAATTTAATCAGTTAGCTTGCTGCAGATTTAACATTTATTATTCTTGAAAGGAAATAACTTAAAATGATCTTTTTCTTTATGGAATGAGCACAGACAACAACACACCAAACATATGTAAAGATAGATCGATTAGTATGAATCCTAACTTAATAATGCTTAGTTATAGCCAGGTACGATATAGTTAATTAAAAATGAGATTTCTGATAGTATATCGGTTACTCATTTCATTCAAGTGTGTAATTCAACAGAAATAGTATAATGTTAGTCTACAATGTACTGTTTGTTATTATTGCTTTATTTTATCAACATTTTCTATGACGTCGTTGTGGTTTTCATTTTTGATTTTAATTTCTTTTTAAGTTTTGGTTTTGGCTTTGATGATAATGTTGATAATGTTGTTGCACCTCCACCTCCACCTCCACAATAGCCTGTTGATTGTTTATTACATAAATTTTCATAGCAACATAAGTAAAATTTTGAATCACATTTTAGATTTTTATCAACTACTGCAGCATAACCAAATCCTCCACGTTCGACAACTTTACCTGTTTTATCATCGAATTTCTACAAAAAACAACAAACTTTTTAAACTATACACTTGTTGAACAAAGCAATTACGCACACTTACCGAATAACAGTAAAGAGTACTACCGCCCAAAGCAGCTGATACTCGAACATCTGAACCACTTAACTTTTCTGTTTCACAATTAGCAGCGCCTTTACACTGATAACATGCTTTTACTTCTTTTTTTTCGGTAACTCTTTCTAAAAACAGTGAACAGATTTGCAATGAGAGTGATAAATAAATAAGCTACTTTCTGAAAATAGCCACATGCTAGTGATTAAGTTCGAAGTTGATAATTTTCAATTGATTTATCTAAGAAATTCAGATGTAAAATGACCTAAATTAGCCTCATATCGATTTATTTTCGAAACGCTTTGTTTGACGAAATCCGTATAGGAATGTGGTAACATCGTGATGGCGAACATCTTTCTAAAGTTAGTTTTTTTAGAGAGTGTAGGGTATAAACTGCGCACAAAATTCAAACGAGTAGATAATGAAGAAAAACCGCCAATGCTGTTATAACGGGCAGGAATAAATCCGAGTTCCATCCTGAAATTCTTTTTTACTTAGATAACAAGACTTAAAACATTTAGAATTCATGTTATTCCTCGAATTTTTCATCAAAGTAGTTTATACATGTCGCCGGTAGGTTATCATTTGCCACAAATTGTGGTTCCCTGAATCAACTCCCAAATCAACTTCCCATTTGGGGATAATAAAACAATCAAGGTCAAAATCTAGTCACAAAATGGAATTTTTATTAGGTGATCTTTTGATTCGGGGATTTTTGTAAACATAAAACATACCTGGACGTGTGACAGCTCCCAGTTTGTTAGACCAGTTGTTTTACTAAGAACTAACTGAAATGACCAGTTCTTTAATGAAGAACTGGGAACCAGTTTTGATTTGTTTCACAGGAAATGGTGACTAGTTCTACTGCGCTTTCGAGAAAGTGGTGACCAGTTGTTCTAAGAAGAATTAGAACTGGTCACCAGTTCTTCATTAAAGAACTGGTCATTTCACTTAGTACTTAGTAAAACAACTAATCCAAGAAACCGGGAGTTGTCACACGTCCAGTTATGTTTTATGTTTTCAATAATCCGCAAATCAAAAAATTACCTAATAAAAATCCCCATTTTGTGACCAGATTTTGACCTTGATTGTTTTATTATCTCCAAATGGGGATTTGCTTTGGGGGTTGATTCAGGAAACCACAATTATTTGTTTTGTTCAAGAGAGTAGAAACCTTACCTGCTGGTGGACATGGAGCGACCATATCGGTATTACAAAAAGCTTTCTCACAGCAAATATGAAATCGATCATTACATTTAAAATTTTTGTTAATGACTTCACCCAAGTCATAAGCACCACGTTTAACAATCTTTCCACTTGCATCAAATTCCTAAGAACGAAAATAACTTTTTATCTCTCAGGTTATAGAAAATTAAATACAGACATACAGTAAAACAAGTAAGAACTTGTGCTCCAAGCGCTTTTGATGTTTTTGTAGCATAATTTTCAAATGGAACACCATCACATTTCGTAATCTTTTCACCAATCAACTTCCAACTCGATGATGGATTTTTATTATCGCATCGATAACATATTTTAGAACCATGAATACCTTAATGAATTTTAAAACGATCTATGTAGAGGTCTCACAGTTTTGTATGTCTTATATGTTCGTACTGAAAAATTATCTATTATCTATTATCTACGTCTCAACGTTTTCTTTAGACTGGATTTTTATGTGCAGACGATTTTCGTTTCGAACTCACAAGTTGTTAACTTTTCATTTGTACAGTCTGAGTTAGTGTAACCGAAATGAAGTTTCGAATGAAAACATCTTGTTGCGACGGTGAGCGCCAGGCATAGAAATTGCCAGATGAGTAGGCGCAAATGGCGTATCGGTCCTAGTCCGTTTGTAAGAATACGAATAGATATGCACTAGTACCGGTTAACTAGCTACCCAAACGGTTTGATATCAAATAATATAATAAACTCCTATTTTTTCCATGAAGAAAGCATTTCTGAGGGTCGAGTCTCGCGCATTATAGGCAATTGACCCTCAGAAATGCTCCCTTCATGGAAAAAATAGGAGTTTATTATACTATTTGATTACCAAACCGTTTGAATACTAGTAAAAACTGGTCAGTCAACCAGTATGAGTACTGATACTGATGCATACCTAAATGTGAACTATTGCCTGAAAATTTTTCACGATTTTTACTAATTATTCTTTATTAAGTTGAGTCCAGGTAGAGTGTCTCTAACTGAAGTCCGCTTAAACATGAAGGTTTCGCTATGAGAAAATGTCTCTTACATAGTACACTCGATTATGATGAAATTTTCAGAGAACTTTGATCCTTTCAAGGTACAGACACGGTAAAAATTTCAGTTCAAACTCTCAACTAGTTGGAAGTTTCTGACTAATTAACTCAGATTTCTTTGCCATCTTTGATCGTCAAGAGTTCGGACAAGTTTTATTTTGTCAGAAGCGTTTTATCCGTAAGGCCAGAAAGGCAGATCTTTTATATATGTCTTCTTAAATAAGTTGGAAATGTTTTTCTCCCAAGACTTGAAAACCCTTCTTGGAGTTTTTAGAACCTCTTTATTTGCAAAACAGCGAAAGTCAAAATGCTCACAAACATCTGAACATTGGAGCCTTTTAAAGTGGATGTTGACCAGCTTTTTCTTGTAGGGCATACGTCAGTTTCTGTCATGTTATTAAGGATAACGAATCAGAGAGCTATCAGTCTGGGAATATACAGTGACCGAGGTTTCGAAATATTTGCAACATTCTTTCTTTTATTAATAAGATTTTAACTTTTTGTTGAAACTTGTAGAATTTAATTCTTTACAAAATTCTATTTATCTGAATTCAAAACAATAGAGCTAAAAGTTTTTGTTGGCCACATAGTTCGGTTATATCAACTGTAGCTAGTTTCCACACATGTTTTCTATGGTTTCCAAACTTTCTTCCAAGTGGCACTGGAAAGACTGAGTATTTGTAATGCGACTGTGCATCAAATATTCTTTCAGAATTATTTGTAAACGTTTGGTTACAATATACTTTTTTGTCTAACAACAATGAACTTTCTGAGTTATGACATTAGAAACAGCCTTCGGATAGTATTCAAGTACTTCTTCCGTATAAACCGTTTTATCACGCGTTGTTGAAGCTCCAAGTGGAAAGACAAATCCGTTTTCTACAAAATAGTGTTAAAATGAGCTCGGTTTGTCCACAGGTGACATTTCTAGGATACTTTTTCGAAAAGGAATAATCAATAGAAAAAATGTCGTCATTCTGAAAATATGGCTTTGCTGTCTGACCGAAAGAATGAGGATTGTAAAAGCTTGTACATAGTCAGCAGACGCTTTCAAGAGCTATCCAGCTGTGAGTTATATTTTATAAACCAAATATTCATTTCTTTATATCGGATAATATAAATTAATCAAAAAAAATGTATGGGAAGTAGCCACAATTGATATAATCAGACTATGTGGCTAATAAAAACGCCTGATGTTCTAATTCTAAATTCAGGTAAATAGAAGTTTATAGCGAATCAAATGCTGCATTTTTCAACAAAAAAGTGAAGATCTTATTATATTTCTAGGCTGATTCTAGGAGATATATATATAAATGAAAGAAGGTTGCAAACATTTTGAAACACTCGGTGCAACATTTCTTGATGAAAAAATCATTGCTGGATTCAAGAAAAACTCCAACTCAAATAAGGAAGCGTCATATGCAGTTTTTACGTTCTTTCTAATGAAAAGATTAGTTTTTCATCATAATATAAAGATTTTTTCAGTGGAATCACCGTTTGAGAACTGTGTGTGAATATCATTACCACCTGTCGAATTACATACCTGAACATATGAGTGCCACTACGAGTATTTGAAACATTTTTTTCTTATTATATCTGTGTGTTATGTTTCGTTTGTTTGATGAAACAATTGTTTAATGCAACCAATATTCTTTTCTTTCACTTATTCTTATCTTTCTTTTGTACGAAATTCGATCTGCATTCAATTCTTTTTTTTTCTTCTTCTTCTTCTACAAGGTTGAAACAATAACCTTTTGTTTATTGATTGAAAAGAGAAAAAACATACATTTATTTGGTTTATACCATTTTAAAGTTAAAATATAATTCTCAATCTTAGTTATTTGCCAAGAGTCTAAACTAAATTATTTTTCTATAACCATCGACAGATAATTGAAAAGCCTCATTTCATATTTATGGAACTTCTCTTAATCTCTGTGTCTGCAACCAATGCAATGAAGAGGCTACACTCTAAAAAAACGTATTTTAACAAACCAGAAGGGTCCTGTCCACGAAACTGACTTTGATTTTGTATGAGATGCAAAAAATCAAAATTGGTATCCCGACTACTGCTAACCGATATTCTGAAGACTTAAAGGATTTTTCATTTGAAAAAGTGTATTTCACCTTTGCAAATACTCTTAGATCGTATTTCATTTCTATTAGGATACCATAAAGGATTAATAAATAAAATACCTTTTTTATGAAATACCAAAATTGATTTTGTAGTATGCCAAAAGGTTATTTTCATTCTTAAAATACCCTTTTGGTTCTGTATGATACGGATAATTTTTTTAAAATATCCAGAACGGTATTTTAAATACTGAAAATGGTATTAGAGGATTTCAAATTGTTTTTTCTGCTTTTCAAAAACCTTTTTCGACTTTTACTACTGATTCTTTGCTATCGTTTTTAACCCAGATTTGTTTACACCTATTTTTTACGCCTATTTTCATCATCAAATGACTTTCTAGCCATAAATTTATCAAACAGGTGCATTCGCAAACTTTTGGCAAAATTTATGGTATCAACTTGTCTTTGGATCTAATTCTCGTAGATTCCCATTACAGATACTTTTTTTTAAGAACTTTTGAAAGAGCTGCGTGAAGGTTTGATGGTTTTTGAGTCTTTCTTTTGTTTTAATCATTGAGAATCGATTAAATTGTGCTATGAATTTACAATGAAAAAAGAAATTTCCTCTTCGAAACGAACTTCGAAGTAGTTTGAAAATGTTTGAGATAGTGCTGAAATTAACGAAAAAGTGCTGGAAAATGTGAAATACTGCCTGCTATTTGAAGATAAAATGACATAAGTAATGTCCCTCCTTATTTGTCCAGAAGGCGTCTCCCAAAGATGCAGAAATATGATATTCGGCTACAGCCCAGTTTCTTACTTATTTGAGGTGACATTTTTAATACTTTTTCTTCGAAAAATTCAACTTTTTCAAATATAATTTCAAAAATACTCTCTCTGTCTCGTACACTAGTTTACGTTTTATTTTTATTTTTTTATTATTCTATTTATAGTTTCTTTCCCTTGTTGTTTGGCTCAAGCCATTGTTGTTATAGGTCGAGGTGCTGTGATGACTCCCACTTTTGTGAATAAATTAGTCCTACTCCTAGTTTTCTTTCACTTTGCTTACCATTTGAATGATTTGGCTAAAGACAATAAAACCAGGGGATCATTCACACTAACCTCTTAGAGCTTGACAAAAGTGAGCTCGTTAAAGACACAGTTTTTACGTGGTGTAAACTAACTAAAAGATTTGATAATTGTCAATAAGACAGTTATTGCCGGCGCTCCTCCGTTGGTAGCGGAAATGAACGTAAATGTTCTAATGATATTTCTAATCGAGCTAATGCGTCTTTAATAATTCCTTTGCCACATTCTGGTTGTTTGTCGATCATTGTTCTCGCCACATTACTGAACCATGCAGCGCCATGTATTTTATCGGTCTATATATGCAACTGGTGTTATTGCTTGTTGGCTTCAGATATTTGATTTCGTTCCAATGCTTTAACAACTTTTTTGAAACGTATGGGTGGCAAATATTCTGTAACACCAAAATAGCCAATGAATTGATAAAACAAGCGTTTATTCAAGACGTAGCATGATGATATGTTACCAGTGATCAATGATGTTAATAATAAATATTTTTGTATATAATCATTTGTTACATTTAAGTAGTCATTAGCAGTTGAAATAGGTATGTATGGTTTTTTCCTTGTTCACCATTACCCATTTCGTCCCAATTATTTTTGGCTATTTCTGTTGTGTTCGATACATTACAACCACTAGTTCTCTGTGATTGTAACGTTAAGTCATTCGTTTCTTCCTTCGGTTGTCTTTATTTATTTTTCTGGATATATTGTAGAATGTCAACAACTTTTTCTACAAAACAAACTGTATTTAGCTGAGTCAGAAGCCATCAATCAAAAATAATATCATCACGATCGCTGATAATTTACCTACTTATTGACTCATAGAAAAGGTTCTAGTATAAAATACGCAGATTACTCAACAAGCAAAAAGATTAATACCAAAAACAAATTATTTCTTACTTTACATCGGCTCACAAAATCGTCCACGGGGTAAGATTGAGTATTCTGATCTCACAATCTAATAGTAGTCAACTTCTTCACTTTGTTGAATGAAACGTGTTATTTTAGCTAATCTTCTATTCTTTTCGCTATTTTCGTCCTTGCAGAATCAGATAGCTGTTTAGCTCCTAGAGACAAAAGTTAATTCCATTATTTTGTGAGAGTGCACTCAGTTTGGAATTCAGTTACTCACATCTTACAGAGAGAAGAATTTTTGAAAACTTGACGAGACACGGACGATGACGAAGCGAAGTCCGCGGTGGACATTTTTTGTTTCCTAGCGAAAGACGAAATGGAGACGCTGGCCGGAAATCTTTTCAATTCACTTGAAAAATATGTTTGTTTAGTAGAGGATATCTACATTGCACACTGCAGTTTCCTCAGGTGGAAGCTAAAGCTCTAACAGTAACAGTTGTATATTGTAAAGGCTATTTCTATCCTATTTTATTTGTTATTCTGTCTTCGTATTATGTGCTCTGTATATAAGACATCCTGATGATGATTTATTGCGCAGATGATGATTTATTGCGCAATAAATCATCATCAGGATGTCTTATATACAGAGCACATAATACGAAGACAGAATAACAAATAAAATAGGATAGAAATAGCCTTTACAATATATACAATTGTATAATACAATATAAGACATCCTAGTTATTTGATTTTCTCTCTCTCTCATTTTATTCTTTGATCTATTCCTCTTTGTTAAATTGTTAACCCTGTATCCCCTCATGCTAATCCAGCAGATCTGGTGTTGAGTTGACCCCAGGAATAGCTTATGCGGGTGCTCAATATGACAACGATATGGTTAAAATCTAAGCGAAGTTCTTTCACTGCGGAGGAACAGAATGGGCCATTTACGACCGATTCGGGTTGAGTGAAATGAAAATTTGATGTTTTGCTTATTTGGATTTTGTTGCGTTTTTTTGTAATTGTATGTTTACTTGGTCTGTATAAAACTAGAAAATTGTCCCTATCATGAATCGTTTTAAAAAATGAAGAAAAATAATTCATGATAGGCTTAATTTTATTTCAAACAGAACAGAAATTGTATTTTGAGGAAGGGTTTAGGATAACTTAAATTTATATTCAGAATTCTGGATAAGCTTAGAATGACCGCTAGGTAAAGATTATACTTTTGACGTTGCTAAAAAATCCAAAAATATTACAGTTATAGGTCTTCAGCTGAAAACGGTGCATGCCTACGGTCTAGAAATCTTGCATATTAATGGAAAAAATAGGTTTTTGACACTGTTGGCATCGTGAGCTCTTCTAATTTAAACTGCTGTGTTCTAAAATCTAGGTCTAACGGAAAGAACGATGATATAGCTTATATCAATAAACAAAATACCTGCAGAAAAACACCAATTTTCATGTCATTCATCCCGAATGGGTCAAAGATGACTCATGTTGTCCTGAAGGATGCTGCTCCCACATCTCTAATCAAGAAATCTTTAAACACTTTCCTGCAAATAGATGACGCCCATAGCAGTATATATCAACTGCCCGAATATAAAAATAATCAATGTGTGCAAGTGAACAAAAATTCAGATTTTTCACTTTTTTGAAAATTCACCATTTTTAGACTCAAATATCTTAGCCAAGAAGTGATGAAAAATAAAGTTATCGTTTACGAATCTATAGCTTATTGAATTCTCTACACAACGTTCATAAAGCTTCTTGATCCAATGCTTTGCTGCTCCACTACATCATTTCTACGGATGGATCAAAAATGACTCAGGCGGAGGAAAGGGTTAATAGAACAGTCTGTCTATTTTCTTTCTTTTTCACTTTTCTTTTCTGTTGTCGCACAGTGGGCATCCAAGCGGAAATTTGGCGAAAAATCGAAATTTCTCGTTTTTCAAATATAAATAGTGCAAAATATAGCTCTTGAAATTCTCTATCGAATGGTGTATAAATGTCTATTTTGATATCCAATCTTTCGAGGAGAAACCAGGCCACAAGAGGTGC